ACAGTACAAAACCCTTACTATGCCACTCGTATAAACAGAAAATAGAAATATAGAATGGCACTTAAACTAATATACCTCTTCATAGTACTTTACAGCCCTCTCTAAACAGTTTAGAGTCAGCACATTTCCCTCCACAATCTAGGTCCTCATTTAATCAACCTTGGAAGCAGAGGTGGTATTCAGCAGGTTCTGATCAGTTCTGGAGAACCGGTAGTGGAAATTTTGAGTAGTTCCAAGAACCGGCAAATACCACCTCTGACTGGAGATTTTAAAGTATCCTTCCCCTGCCATGCCCACCAAGCCACACCCATAGACCTGGTAGTAAAAATTTTTGAATCCCACCATTGCTTGAAAAAATGGAAGGATGAGTCAGCCTTAAGCCTGGTGAAGTTCAAACTCCTGGCAATGGAAATGGAGTTAGCCTGCAATATTGCATTCTGACCACTGCACCACCAGGGCTCTTCCCCGAAACCCTATGATCTGTTAAAGTAGGGGCCTTCAAACTTGACAGCTTTAAGACTTGTGGACTTCAACTCCCAGAATTCCTCCTCCAGTCATGTTAACTCAGGAATTCTGGGAGCTGAAGTTCACAAGTCTTAAACTTGCCAAGTTTGAAGGCCTTTCTGTTAAAGGGAAGACTGGCAGTGTAAAGACTTGAATGTTTTTCTCTCAACCATTTTATCAGCCACATATTATTGTGTTGCACAACCATCTGAGGACAGTCTAGTTAAAGAAGAAGGGATACATCAGTGTCTCGGAGGCTCATTTCCATCCCCTTGAATGGGTAGATGATATACATTTGTTGCTGCATCTCCACATTACAGGTAGTCCTCAACTTACAACTGCCAGACAGTTGTTAAGTGAATTTTGCTCCTTTTCATGACCTTACTTACCACAGCTGTCACAAAAGGTGATCCCATGACCGCTAGACACTGTAACTGCCATAAATGCATAAAAAATAATTTTATTAAACAACTTGGTTATAAGCTAGGTAAACTATTTCAAATTTGTATATTAAGCTTGGATGCTAATACAATTGCACATTAATAAACCTACCTGGAACAGTAAATTAGTGATCTATTTGACTGTCATAACCCGCTTCTGATATTTGCCTGAATGCATAGGAACTTGAAATTGACTAGAGAATGAAGAAGTAGTGCAAATCACTAAAGCACTAAGAGGAAACTGTTGGGCTCAGCTGGAATTTTAAATCCCCAGGAGATCTAAACACATTCCTAGTCTAACCTACTAAGAGGGAAAGCAATTTGTTGAAAATTATATGCTAACTACTTGGAAGAGTATGCAAGGTTTAGGCCACTAGCTGTCATTAAGTAGTTAATGAGATGGTTAGTGAACCACTTACCCTTTTGAATAGTTCATGATTCTTGGCTTCTAATATGAGTATTTCTTGCAAAGCAAGTATATAATTGGACAGTATTAATATATAATGAAGAACTTTAGGAACAGACCACTCATACTGCGTGGGAAATTACTGAGATAGAACCTTGGAAAATACAGTGGTATTTTTTTTTAAATAAAGAACAGCAATATTTATATTGCTACAAAGATAATGGAAAGTCCCTCTGTAAGCAAAATGGGCAATTGCAAAATATGATAGATAAATAGAAGAATGGAATGGAATGGAATGGAATGGAATGGAATAGAATAGAATAGAATAGAATAGAATAGAATAGAATAGGAATTTTTTATTGGCCAAGTGTGGTTGGACACACAAGGAATTTGTCTTGGTGCAAATACTCTCAGTATTTGCAGTATTAAATAAAATAAACCCAACCTTTCCAGTATATTTCCCTGGGAAATATGATTGGTTTTGTATTCAGGAAAAAAAATAGTCCAGGGGTCAGGGTCAATTAGACAGACAAAATGAGAAGAATCATCATGGGAGTGGAAATCAGGATTTGGGAGGAAAGTCTCTGGATTTTTAAAGCATTAAAATAATTTAGGCACAAAAATGTCTATTAAAAAAACAGTTTACATGGGGTTAAGACTAGTAGTAATTCCAATCACAATACACTTGGTTTGGTTTACTTAGCGTAGTGAACTACAGAATAATAGAATAGCAGAATTGGAAGGGGCAATGGAGCTCTTCTAGTCCAACCCTCTGCTCAAGCTGGAGACCCCATACCAGTGATGGCTAACCTTTTCAGCACCGGGTGCACAAAGCATGCACGCACATCCCCAAAGACCAGCTGGCCAGCGGGAGGCGTGTATGAATGCGCGGTGGAGCTGAGCTAAAGCAATGGCTCACCTACCCACAGAGAGGGCTCTATGTGCCACCTCTGGCACCATTTCAGGCAAATGGTTGTCCAATCTCTTCTGAAAAGCCTCCGGTGATGGAGCAACCACATGGATCACTAAGCCATAGTTTATGGCTTAATGTTATCTATGGACTTAGCTACTGTGGCTTATTCCACAAACCAATACAATGTAAAAACTCAGATAAGATCAGAAGGGTTGCAGAAAATAGTTTAAATAGGCCACTGATGGAAAACCAAGTCCCTGGTTCTAGATGTCAGCTCTGGAGGATAATAGTGAAAAATATTATAACTGGTTATTCCTAATTCACCAAAATGGAGTGTGGGTGGATATTTTACACCTGGTAACATACATAAACCACAAATAACTCCTTTTTTACTTTTTTTTCAATGGTAAGAGAACTATGAAAGTTAGAGGCTGGATTGGACAAAAAGATTAGTTAGATATACAGTATCTTCTTCTCAAAGTTCCTATAATTAATCAACCACAATAAAATACTCTATTTATTAGAAGGTGGGTGAGGCTTTCCATTTGGGCAATTTTCATATATGGAGAAGTGAAAGCACAGTTCACAGCCCTTCCCTTACAGAAACTTGTTTTTCAGCAACTCTTTAGAGCACTAAAATATCAAAATACAAAACTATAAATTCTGTTAGGTATTTGATTAATATTTCCACTAGTCTTTGGGATAAAAATTAAAAGTAAAAATTTGGGAATTGTTTTGCTGTGTCTGGAATGTCAAGCATAAGGTATGATGACACAGAGCATGATCCATAAATCTATGAATCGCTTATTAATGAAGTAGAAGTGTCAAATTCTGACACAATAGCATTTCAGAGACGTTAATATTGGACTTGCCATCAATCTATGTTGTTACAGTACACATATAAAACAGTAGGAGTCAGGGAGGAAAAGAGACATTTCCAGAGAGTTGTGTTCCATTTCAATGATCATCTGCATGGATATTTATCACACACTTGAGTGATATTCACTGCAAAGCGACACAAATTACTTAATAGTTGAGAATGAAAATGGCTCTTCAGCTACAAAGTGCTCTTCCTTGCACTGCTTGTGACTTGATTAATATTAATAAACAGGTCTTCTGTATTTAGCTCTAAAAGGTTATGGGCTGTATTGCTTTTAGATTCATTAAATCTATGGTGCTACTGCATGGAAAAACAATTGTTTAGGGTCAACTGATCTAGTCTGCAAAAATCCCACTGACCACAAGATGACAAGTACTGCCGTTTCATACCAGTTTGCTGCCATTTAGTGATTGTTTTTTACAGATCAGACCTGGTGGCCCTAGAGTAGCTTGGAAATTAGAACAAAAGGCAGATAGCAAAGGAATGGCAATGGGAGAATTTGCATAGCATTATCTATGTAGCCTCAAAAGCCACTTATGCCAATGCAAAAGCTTGAAAGGAGGCAAAACGTATCTGCTGGGAAGGAGTGGTGGTGTGGGTGCCACTATGGAAGCAAATGACAAAATGTATGACATCATTATACAAATTATGACTTACATATTCACATCTGATATTGGGACATTGGTACAGTTCACCTCATCCTGCCTAGCTGAAATTGAACATTTGGAAAACCAACTACATGTTATAATTAGCTGCCCTGTGTCCACACTGTGATAACTTGAGCCTTGTCATTTGTGCTTCAAATGACAACTTGGAATTGACTATTTAATGCTCCATTTAATTGTTTATGTTCTGGGTTGTCCACACTATTTCAAGGAGTTTTCTTCAACACATCATTTCAAGAGGTTAATATTCTTCCTTTCCTGCTTCTTCAAATTTCAACTTTCAGTTCTGTAATATCACATGGAATACCATTGCTTGCACTTTTTTTTTTTAAATGTTATTAAAAGTTGCAATGGAATATAAAAACAAATACAAACTAATATAAAGTAAGAAAAAGAAAGAAAGCAAAGAGAAAGCAAAAAGTTCAAAGGGAAAAATAAGAAGTAAACAAGAAAGAAAAAGGATAAATGATTACTGATCTTCTCTACCAGCAATTTTAAGTAGAGTTATAAATTTAACTCTCTAAAGTTACATGTCTCTTTTCTTCCTATAATCTATCATATCTAATCTAATGCTTGATAACTGGTTCATATATGACGGATGTAGTGCCCTGGGATCTCTTTTGCAAACTTCTGACAAGCAAAGTCAATGGCAAAGCCAGATTCACTTAACTGTGGCAAGAAACGACATAAAATGGGGCAAAATTTCTCACTTAGTAAAATAAATTCTAGGTACAATTGTAGTCATAAAACAAGGACTACCTGTATATGCAACCTGGCACTGTAGCTGAAGCGGAAAGCTTCTGATAAGGAGTTGGCACACAGGTTTGTACTATTATTTCTGAACAATAATAGATCACACTCCACTTTTTACAGATACTGCTTTAGCTGAGGTTTTCTATTTCTAAAACTGGAGCTATCAATGCAAATGAAAAAAAGCTCTATTATTTCAGGGAGCATTGCCTCCGTGCAACTCTACAGCGAGGGCTCCGAACAACCCTCCACGCCACTGTTAAGACCACGAAGAGTGATAAATCAGACACCTTAGCGTAAAAACTCATTCTCCATTAAGTAGCGTTTGGTCTAACAACCGAGTAACTCTCACGCCGCCGTACCCTGTGACAGCGTGGAGCACAAGGGAACTACAAGGAGCATGCGCAGAAAGAACATTTCCCCCCCCTTCGCTGTGGGGGAGCGTTGCGTTCCTCTAAGTGCGCAGGCGCAATAGTGGTCCGGCAATGGAGCGCCGCCTCCTCTGGCCTACTAAGGTCTCCTTTGCTAACGTGATGGCCGGAGGAGTTCGCCTTCCGTTCCTCTTTCCTTCGCTAGCGATATCTCAAGGTGGAGAGCCGACGTGAGATAGGAGAGTTGTAGACTTCGGTGACGTAGAAGGTGGGTTTCTTCCTTCCCGGAGCTTCTCAAAGCCTTCCCTTCGTACCCTCCCAGGTTCTCAAGTCATGCTGCCCTCGGCTTATGGGACTTTGCATTTGGCACATCTGGACCTGCTGGTTAGCGGATAGGAGAATATTGTACTTTGAACGTTTCAAATATGTGCTAAAGTTTGCTGGCATTAACGTCCATGGGCTAGAAAATGGCTGCTGTGTGGCTGGGTCTCCTTGGGGGTCCTGTTTTATACCAGTGAGCCTGACTTTGCCCAAGATTAAGAAAAGGCAACCTTTTAGGGGTCCGCCTTATGCAGTAACAGGTGTGAGCATCCTTACAGGAACCTGATGGTCATGTATGATACTGCATACAGATCTTCCTGTGTGGTATTTGTGCAGAATACCATACAGGAAAAGATGTGCTAAGTTGTGATGTGCGACATAGTTTTATATGATTGTTGTGGCTTTGACTGCTGTTAAGTAATTATATTTGGTAACTATATTTGGTCTTGGTTTTTAAAAAGTGAGGTCTGCAGCATAAGCAAAAAGCAATTGATCCTGTACCGATTTTTTAAATTTCCCTTTTAATAAATATTGGAATCTTGCAGATATGCTTTTATTTTTACCCGTGGCTAACCAGTGTTTTTTATAGATGCTGAATGTATGAAACAAGAAGAAAACAGGGGGAAAAAAGACTATTTACAGCAACTCTTTATAGGTAACCATCTTGTATTTCAACTTCCCAGTGTTCTATTTAGAAGCAGTATTTTGACTTTTAAGTTATTTGATAACAAAAATGTGAAATTAAATATATTAATTGATTCATACAAGCCTAATTGCTAAATAGATCTTCAAAAGGGACTCCCAATAGTACTATGCTTTTTCAAATGTAGAATGAGAGTTGAATTGTTTACAGACTGTTATACAGTTAATGGAGGCTCAATGTCCTTTCTGGCCTTGTAATTTTTTCTCCATTTCTCTTATCGTTCTGTCGTTTCCCAACCTTGTAATATATAATAATAAATATTAGAAAACAAAATTAACACAGAAATAACTTCAATTCAAAAATAGATCCCTATAACAAAACAACAGGACTAAAATAACTTTTCTTATTTATTAAAGCTTAAGCATGCACAGTATGAATATGAGTGGTAATTTCCATTTCATTTAGCATTGGTAATTTTTTAACACAATAGAGTCATTACTGAGTTTTAAACTTTTGAAGAAATTCCGTGAATAGGGAAAATGTAGTCCTCCTTACCTCCTGTGTACGAGAATATAATGCACACACAAGAGAAATTAGCATATAATTCAATGTTACATTATACACTGCTCAAAAAAATAAAGGGAACACAAAAATAAGACATCCTAGATCTGAATGAATGAAATATTCTTATTAAATACTTTGTTCATTACATAGGTGAATGTGCTGACAACAAAATCACACAAAAATTATTAATGGAAATCAAATTTAGCAACCCATGGAGGTCTGGATTTGGCGTTACACTCAAAATTGAAGTGGAAAAAAAACACTACAGGCTGATCCAACTTTGATGTAATGTCCTTAAAACAAGTCAGAATGAGGCTCAGTAGTGTGTGTGGCTTCCACGTGCCTGTATGACCTCCCTACAACGTCTGGGCATGCTCCTGATGAGGTGGCGGATGGTCTCCTGAGGGATCTCCTCCCACACCTGGACTAAAGCATCCCCCAACACCTGGACAGTTTGTGGTGCAACAGGGCATTCTTGGATGGAGCAAGCCATGATGTCCCAGATGTGGTCAATTGGATTCAGGTCTGGGGAACAGGCGGGCCAGTCCATAGTATCAATGCCTTTGTCTTGCAGGAACTGCTGACACATTCCAGCCACAGGAGGTCTAGCATTGTCTTGCATTAGGAGGAACCTAGGGCCAACTGCACCAGCATATGGTCTCCCAAGGGGTCTGAGGATCTCATCTCAGTACCTAATGGCAGACAGGCTACCTCTGGCGAGCACATGGAGGGCTGTGCGGCCCCATAAAGAAATGCCACCCCACACCATTACTGACCCACTGCCAAACCGATCATGCTAGAGCAGGCAGCAGAACGTTCTCCAGGGCGTCTCCAGACCCTGTCACATCTGTCACATGTGGTCAGTGTGAACCTGCTTTCATCTGTGAAGAGCACAGGGCACCAGTGGCAAATTTGCCAATCTTGGGGTTCTCTGGCAAATGCCAAATGTCCTGCACGGTGTTGGGCTGTAAGCACAACCCCCACCTGTGGATGTCGGACCCTCATTCCACCCTCATGGAGTCTGTTTCTGACTGCTTGAGCAGCCACATGCACATTTGTGGCCTGCTGAAGATCATTTTGCAAGGCTCTGGCAGTGCTCCTCCTGTCCCTCCTTGCACAAAGGTAGAGGTAGCGGTCCTGATGCTGGGTTGTTGCCCTCCTACGGCCTCCTCCACATCTCCTAATGTACTGGCCTGTCTCCTGTAGCGCCTCCATGCTCTGGACACTACACTGACAGACACAGCAAACCTTGCCACAGCTCGCATTGATGTGCCATCCTGGATGAGCTGCACTACCTGAGCCACTTGTGTGGGTTGTAGACTCCGTCTCATGCTACCACTAGAGTGAAAGCACCACCAGCATTCAGAAGTGACCAAACCATCAGCCAGAAACCATAGGAACTGAGAAGTGGTCTGTGGTCACCACCTGCAGAACCACTCCTTTATTGGGGATTTCTTGCTAACTGCCTCTGCTTTCCACCTGTTGTCTATTCCATTTGCACAACAGCATGTGAAATTGATTGTCAATCTGTTGCTACCTAAGTGGACAGTTTGATATCACATAAGTGTGATTGACTTGGAGTTATATTGTGTTGTTTAAATGTTCCCTTTATTTTTTTGAGCAGTTTATTTTATACGCATAGCACCACGGGTATGTGTTATTGCATTCACGTTTCTGAAGATTTCTGTGCAGTTTCCTTAAGATTTCTCCAAATATTAGATCCACTAATAACTATGAAATAGGTTGGATTGCAATCACTAGTCTAAAATCATGCAATGAACTCTGGCTAAGTAAGACCCTGAACCAATCTCCCCTACCTCCAAGTCCAAAATCTTGACCACCAAGCTATACTGGCTGTTTTTTGTAGAGTGGAGCTGAATATCAGTTTTGAATTATATATATGCACTCTTACTGTTCTGTAGATAACAAATTAATCTGGTTATCTTTGTTCATGGAGTGCTAAATTAAATGGTCACCTTGGCACAGGGAGCCCTTGTGCTCAGTCTTGGAGCTCTTCTGTAAAGAGGGCCAACATTGCCTCAACAAAGTTGCTAAATGTTTTATTGCCATAAGATCAGTGCCTAAATGTGATGAATGATTGGGTAAAGACTCAGGATTAAAACTCACCAAAATATATATCTCTAGACTGACTCTTATTTAACCTGACTAATTGAAGGATGTTGGAAGGATAAAATAGGGGAGCAGAGAGAAAAACACAGATTTTCTCCTAAGTGCCTGCAGCAGGAATATGATATAATAAAAATTGGAGATTAAATTTCAGATTCAGTTCTTAGGTTAGTCAAATATGATGAACAGAACATAATAACAGTTGGAAGGGACCTTAGAGGTCTTCTAGTCCAACCCCTTGCTCAGGTAGGAAACCTACACCATTTCAGATAAATGGTTGTGCAATTTCTTCTTAAAGACTTCCAGTATTGGAGCATTCACAACTTCTGAAAGCAAGTTGTGCCACTGATTAATTGTTCTCACTGTCAGGAAATTTCTCCCTTAGTTCTATGGTAGGTGGCTTCTCTCCTTGATCAGTTTCCATCCATTGCTTCTTATCCAGTATTTCACTCTGCTTAGTAGGTTTTTAAATCTATAGAAGAAGGCACCATTGTAAAAATCTAGGATGGATGTGGATTATAAAAAATGAAGTACTTTGAATATGAAAAATATTAAACATTTATAAAAATGTTCCACAATAAATGTTACGTGAAGTCAGTTTGAACTACAAGAATTGAATTTATAGAGTGAACGCATTGCTTTCTGCTGATGGACATAATTCCCTAACAGCGTTCCAGCACACACTTGAATGCAGTATGTATTCTAATAAGATTAGAAGGTTTTACACTCTCACTTTGCCTCATTCCATTTGCCTTTGATAGGCTTAATAATTCTGCATCCTCTGTGAAATAGTTGAGTTTTAGTAGAACATTTTATCCTTGAAAGAAGTTGATTCAGTTATATTGTATATATAACTTTGGTCCAGACTTACATTCTCCCAGTCAAGCCCAGAGAGAGACAGGGTATCTGCTGAGCTTTGTATGATCTTTAAAAAATTGAGGAAAGATTAGCTATGATTTTAAGTCTGAAGCTTACTAATCATATCTCTTACTATTTTTCCAGGTACGCATTTATTGAAGAGCAGTGGTCAAATTCCGCGGGAAGAACCAAGTTTTCCTCCATTAATCAAAGTCCATTGATCAAATACACATCAGGTGGAAAGATAACACAGTCAACAATTTTGTCACAAAAATTGTAATAAGTGTTCTAAACCTTTTTCATGCTGAATTCAAAAATGAAGTTAATTTTTTTCTATCGGGCTTAGTTTTCTGTGACCCTATTATTCTGTTCAATTAGTGACATCATGGTGCTTTATGTTAACTATAATAACGTATATGTATCAGTTATGTTTAGTTTGGAGGAATCAACCACCCCACCATCCCAATTTGTATTATTTCTGCCTAACAAACACAACAGGGATCACCTCTAAAGTAACCACACTATGAAATACCCCATTTTACCATCTGTTTAAGTAAAGCAGAAAAGGAAAATCTTAATTCTGATCTAACATTTTAGGTTATCTGAAATGAGCCACATATGTTGATGCAAGGAGATCTGAACAATCTTGTTCATGATTTGAAGCTGTCTTAGAAGCAGGATGAACTTTTAAGAACAAAATGAAATGGAATCTTCACTGTCATGATACTTAAGGGTTTTTTCCCTTTCATAGCCGCCATAATGAATGTAACAATATATTCTCCCAATAAGATGTACTATTTTGTAAATATGTTTATTCAGTTATAGAGGCTCTTGGCCATGAACACAGTGTAAAACATTGGCTCCTTGAAAGTTAAGCCAGAAGGCTGTTTTTCATAATGAGAATAATTTATTGTCCACAAGTTGGCCATGCTGCTAACAGGAAAGAGTTATAAGAGGACAAGAAAAAAAGATCCAGTGTGAAAAATATATATGGAGTGTCTTTGGAGATCTGAAAGTCACTATACTTCTCTCAACCTGCAATTTGGATGCACAAGGCAAGGTGTTTTTTCCATGAGTAGGACAATAAGAAGAAAACCTAATGAAGCTCAGAATGGCCAAAACATATCTCATTTGTTGACAAACAATGTGGGGGAATAATAAAGCAAGAAATCCAAAAATACTAAGCAATAGAATGTAACATGTCTTTAAAAGTTCATTTCTTGGACTTTCACCTGGACTGTTTCTCTGACAACCTCAGGATACTCAGTGATGAGTATGGTGAATGATTTCCCAGGGTTATTTGAAACATGGGAAAACCGAGAAAAGTTGAGTCCCAGAATGCTGGCTGAGTATTTGAGAGCTCTTGCACAGTATTTCTCTGATAAGTGTCTCCAGGTCAATTACCAGAAAACAAGATTATGCTAACTCTTCTAGAATAATCAACTGACAAATTCAGGGTAATTCACTAGGCATACTTTTAGAACAAGAGGGAAACTCAGGTTAATCATGCTGAACCGGCATTTTAGAGCCATGATGGCGAACCTATGGCATGCGTGCCGGAAGTGGAACGCAGAGCCATCTCTATGGGCACACAAGCTGTCGCCCTAGCTCAGTTCCCCTGCGCATGCACCTCCCACCAATCAGCTAATTTTTAGGTATCTGGTGTGCATGCGTGGGGGGGCAGGGCACATGCAAGAGGCTCATGCACAGGGGGCAGGAGGAGTGCGGGGGTCCCACGTGCATGCACGGGGTGGGGGTCGTGCGTGCATTGCATTATGCATGCGCTCACACGCACTTTCGGCACACAACAACAAAAAGATCACCAGCACTGTCTTAGAGGAATGGTGCAACAATACTGAGGTACTTCCACTCAAAAAAAGTCCTCCCCCATCAAATTATTTGCAGCTAAATGTTTGATGTAGCCCCTCATTGGATTTCAGTTCAACCCATAATCTAGCTATTCTTTGCTGGAATCAATTCAAATTTTTCCAGGTATATATGCAAACTTACAACTGAAGTCTAGATTGTCTAGATGAAGATTATATTGGCTGGTCATTTTAACTTTCTGATTAAAAATAAACTTTTGACCACTTAACAATCCTTTTGCAGTTTACTCAGTTCGGGAAAAAGCCTCATTGTATATATACTCTTTTGCCATATGGTCTTCTGTCAGAAATCTTGTTTTCAGTACTGTAAAATAGTGTATGTTTTAAAATATAGATCTAGGATTGCAGAATTATTTAAATGTCATGTGGAGCTAGATAATTATGTCACTAACTTGGAATTGCATGGGCAATACAGAACCTTCTTTTGGGTATACTTATATGTCATCCGTCTTATTGGAAGTCTGGTTCAGTAGGATTCTCTTTTGAGATAAACTCACACCAGTTTCACAAATAGGCACCAAAACAATAAATATATTCTCTACAACTGCATGTGGATGTGAATTATTGAATTTGACCATAACAACAAAACATTTTCCATTGTCATACCAAGAAGTTTAATTAGATTGCTTTTTGAAGTTTTATAAGAATTGAGGTTTTAATGCTTTTCAATTACATTATAGAACCCCTACTTAACTTACTAAAGGACATACCAAGATATTTGTCTTAAGTTTTGACTCAGTACCAGTTGTGGAATTCGGATTTTTGATAACTTTCATTAGTCAATTTATGTTGTGACATTAGCTTTTCAAATAACACTACATGGTAGAATATATTTCTACCACTAGGTGGAATAAAGTTCTCTGAATGCCCTGCTTTCTCTGGTATCTTCTGCTATAAACAAAATTGCTGTAATTGCATTCCAAGAATTGTTACCCTAATTGATTACATAAGGGAACTGTCTGAGCAACAGAAGGAAGGAAAACAAGTGCTGTGCTTTTTAGCAAGCCATTTCAGGAAGTTTGAGGAACAAGTTCTTCTGGAAAATTCCATCAGAGGACTTTAAACAAACTGCTTTATGTAAGGCAAGAACACTGGGCATCTGCATAAGTCATTTAATTCAAGTCTTTTTGAAGTATAAAGTAGTAAGAGGCAGAAATAGGAGAGATGTATTAAAAATGGAGGAGATACACAAAAATTTCTGCTAAAACTAGAAAATGAAAGTTTAGCTTTTTATATTTTCTCCTAATTTCAGACATGGAATATATAGAGCTTTTTCAATTGATTGACACTAAAAGCACTTCTTTTGATTCCACATAAATTCAACAGTGGATGAAGTAACTACCAAAATTGACAGTGCTGAATATTGTCAAGTTCAGTCAAATAGGGAAATCTAGAACTGAGGGATTTTTTAATTATCAATTGTGTTCAGGTGCCCATGAGTTTAGAAACTTCGTTTCTTAAGTCCTTAAGTCAATTGGTTAACTAAAATTGTTTTCTGCAACACTGCTGCTTTATGGCCCATATCATAAACGGCTAATCTTTGCATGTTCTTACTACATTATATTAGCAGGACATTTTGACATAAGGAGACATGATGTCAGCTTGTTAATTCAAATTCCAATTTGAAAACAATTTTGGGGTAGTAGAAGGAAGTTGAAAGGGAACCTTTTTTAAAGTCTTTAGAGGAAGTCGTTTACTTAATATAAGAACTGCAAAACAGATTGGTTAGGATATTGGTTAGGATTGGTAAACCTTACATTCTAGTAATAATATATATAAATATTGGTTAATGGCATTGTGTTCTCAAGGATTCATAATTAAACATCTGAGATTGAGAAGTCTGTTTCGTATAATTCTTTTCATGTTTTGTAATGTTGTAACTTTGGGAGTGGTTGCAATTTACTTCAGTTACTCATTTTCCCTTCCTGAAAATCAGTGCTAAGGGAGTCTTGCTATATATATGTATTGCTTTATTGATTCAAAACTTGGAATGCTTGTAACATAAAGCTAATTCATAGCTGACGTAAGGGTATATGAAGCTCTATTTGAATATTGCACAGGAATTACACTACTTTTGCCAATGTCTGTCTTCCATCATTTACTACTGGAGGAATATGAAAAGTATAGGGAGCTGGCTTTGTCCTGCTAGAAAATGTGAATCACTTCAGGCTGACGTAACAGAAAGAAGAGGCACATACAGGAGCAAAGGGAACAACTTCTTGATTTTATTGTCTCTTGAATGCTCACAATATTGTATCTTGATTCAAATAGTCCTGCCTGTATTGACCATCTTTCAGTGAAGCAAGCATTGTTATCTTGGTTGTAGCATTTTGCAGAATGATAATCTGTAGATTAGTTTTAAGAACATATCTGGTTGATAACAACTTTCAGTGTGTTTCCTTGATAAAGATACTATCTTTTAAAATGCTTTTTTTGTATTAGTTGTGTTGCTATAGCGACTTAAAACATGTTGCTCATGTAAGTTTTTCTGAAATATCTTCCAATTTAATGTTTCTCAGCCATTTGTTTTCAACAAATTTGGGTTCTAATAAGATAAGCAAAAAACCGTGGTTTATAGGCATTCTGTTAAGCTTATCACTTATAGTAAGCCTTTTAAAAATGCATTGATACTATTTACAATACTTTTTGTAACTAAAATATAACTAATTGTGAGCAAAGCAATATTTTCTAGTAATTATCTTTTTCTAAACTCAGGTTAAAACAAACATTAAGTTAGCTAATCAGTGCAAAATATTATTTTGGCTCCTAAGCCATAATCTTTCAGTAGCTGTTCCAGTCCTAGACTTCACCAAAATGTTCTGCCAAGATGTACTCGGTTCCTTTGTTTTGGCATACTCAACTGGAGACCACCTGCTCTCACCCCTCTCGTGTTTCTCAATTTAAGGATGGAATTTATGCCCTGCCTAGACTCATTTGGCATACCGTTAGTTGACAGCCACTGTTACAAATCAAAGATTATTCTTAATATCAAGATTGAGGTGTCACTTTAAAAATTGCATCCTTGACCTGTGTTGATACTGCTTAGCATTCAGCCATATATACTAACACAACATACTGTATTCTTACCTACCAGGTGATGTTTCTCTTTGGCCTTATTAAAGCACTGAGGTAGACTTTTCTGGACCAGCTCTTGTGATAAATACGTAATTTAAAAGACCACATGGAAGTGATGAAGGAACGCAAAGAAAATGAATTTTCACTCAGGGAGGATAGACGTGAAGAGTAAAAGGTCCAATTTCTTTCCACCTGTAGAGTGATATTAAAAATGAACTTCCGGGTTTGCAATGGAAACCTGGATGACTCAAAATCAGGCTGAATTGTGGCTAGATGAAACCTGGATGACTCAAAATCAGGCTGAATTGTGGCTAGATGAAAGCAAGCAGGATTTACAAGAAGCCACAAAATCACAATCAGCCCAAGCTTTCTTACTCAATCAGTGGCTCATCACACAATTTGATGATGTCCCTTAAATTATTTTATAATGTTCTGGCATTGAGTGATTAGTTGAATATCAGTACATTCTTTTAGGATTTAAGACAAGCATACTTATAGAAAAATGAGTCCAGAAATTTGCACAAATTAAAAATAATGTATAAAGTGTCTTTGTGAACAAGAATTTCAAGAGATGGACCCCTTTGCAGATGGACCTCCTTTATGCCAGCTGGAACATAATGTCTACAGTACACAGAAGTTTTCAGCTGACTGATTTTTCTTAGCTTACTTATTAAGGTGGGGGGTTTGATTTAGCATCTGGATATGCCTACCCAGAACATTCCTGTCTTTTCTTGGCATCCATCAACTTTTCCTCCCTTTTAGAGTGTCACATGTCTGTTCACTACAATAATGAAGTTGAGATAAATAAGTCTAGGACAGAAGTTAAATATAGAAGATAATGTTATTAGAGGGTAATCAAAGGAAATGCAGAGTGCAAAAGCCAGCAATACAATATGGGTGATACAGGTTAACAGAGTTTATATAAGTTACCAGGGGAAAAGTGGATCCCACCACTATGTCTCACCATTTCTGCTACATGAACACTACAACACTAAAGCTGTAAGGATTTTAACATTTTAAAATAGCAAACTGAAGTGTCCTGTAACTCTGCTTTACAGATTAGCCGAAGGGGCTACTCTGTCTGCCTAGAAATGTCAACACATTCTGTTAAATAAATAGATATATAGAATTTACAGTTTCCTCATATTCAACGAAAAATAACGAAAAATATCTTGGACTCTGCCTCCTTTGATTCATACTTCGCCAAAATTTTATTCATCTTACTGTCGTGTTGTTGGGCACAACCCAATCTTGTGGGCCCTGTTATGGGGAAGGACAAAATTTGCTGATGATCTGCTGCAATGAAGGAAATGAAAGTAATAAAATTCAGAGTAGCATGTATGTGAGCTAGCTCATCATTCTTGTTCCTTAAAACTGGGTTAACCCACTCTGAAAACATGTAACACAAAGCAACCTTAGGATTATTTTCAAGGAATTAACTATAAATTTCCACATGATGGAATGATTCTTAAAAGTCAATTGTAAGTAAAAAAATTGTTTAACATCCTGTCTTAGAAATATCAAGATGGCCATACTTCAGTATAATCTTGGGAGCGGAAAGGAGTCATTTTTTGCTTGCTTCTTTTTTTAAGCCTTACTGAGGTGTTTGTAAACCACAACTGTGGCCTTTTTACATCATTAAATAGTTTTCTAAGGTTGCTAGGGCAGGGATTTAAAAAATAAAATAAAAGCAAATTCTGGGTGTGGACTATTACTTGCTTCGTAATCTTGATTAAGATTAAGAAACAAGGAAAGAAACAGCTGTCTAGTAAAAGAAGGGGAAACTTCAGAGAGATTTTGGGGAATCTTAGGCCTAAACTACCCATGTATTCATTTGAATCTATGCTTTCACAACACAATTTTTGTGTATAAAGGGCTATGAGCAAAAAAGTCAGTTTTGTATTACTTTTTTTTTCACTTAGCAATATATAATTAATGACATTCCCTCATGTGACCATATTTTAAACTGCTCATCGCCTTTTAGTCCCTATAACTAGGATAATGGCTACAATTCTCTAGATCAGAGTTGAAGTTCTGTTATCTCTGAAAATTGTGTAGTAAGTCACTACATTGTAATGAAATTTGCAAAATGCTTTACGATACAAAGATATTATGATAAGGTATATGCCACTTTAGATTACTTTATTGTCATTTAATTTCGTTCAACAAAATTAAATGCCATTTTCAGTGTACATTATAAAAATGAAACAAACACACATCCTTCACATTCTATACAATTGAATTGAAAACCCAATATTGCATTAATATTGCACTATACAGTAGAATTCAAATGTAGCATATTCTTTTGTAGTGAGAGTCAGATTTATCAAACTAAGAAATCCTATTTAAAAAAATCAAATTCTGTATAGTCATCAAAGTTAGCTGAATCAACCCATTTTTCCCCTAAAAAGATGCATGGTTGTCCACTATACACAAAATATTTATTTCTGTTGCACTAAATGTAATGTGAAATCAAGGTATTTGGTATTGCCCATTCAATGATTCAGAACAATGAAACAATCATAGTGAGTTAAAACCAAAGTGCTGGCCTAGAAACTAGGAGACTGGGAGTTCTTGTCCTGCCTTATGCATGAAAGCCAGTTGGGTCAGTTACTCACTCTTGGTCCAACCTACCTCACGGGGTGGTTTTTGTGGGGAAAATAGCAGGAAGAAGGGGTATTATGTATGTTCACAGTCATAAATTACTTATAAAGTAATAAAAGGCAGGATAAAAAAAAATTCTAACAAATAAATAAATGTATCTATGGTCTTCTATTGCCTCTTGTACCAGTTCCCCCTCTTATTCCATGCTTCCATGTTTTTCCTATATTCTAGAATACCTAATTTAGGATATTCTAAGAACCATTTATAAATAGATAGTAGTGGATTGTTATTATGTAAATAATATTTTAAATCTTATAATGTTGATTAAATAGTTTACCAAAATGTACAGAGTGCTCCAAAGTGAGATATAGATGTGGGTGGACTATTTTAACTGCCTCACAATTGTGGGACAGTTACAAAAGCCCACCCACATCAACATGTCACTTTGGAGCATTCTGTACTTTTTTGTAATCTTATTAACTTATGCATTCCATGCCCCAGTCAGGAACACACAGGGAGGGAAAAGAGAGAAGGAAACAAGGAAATCATTGTGTTACCTGCAGATTTGGCTTTCCCCATGATACTAACTTAGCACAATCAGAAGGATCAAAGTGAAGCTGGTGTGATATTGCATATCACTCCTTCCTAGTAGCTCATCTTAAAAAAAAAAAGGGGGGGGGGAATTCCATATTTGCAAAAACAATTGGAGCGTAACCAAAGGTGCTGATTTAAAGATACCACATATGGTAAGTTTTTTCAAACATGCCTCATCTCGTCTAGAAGGAGCGAAATTATTTATTTAAATTATAAAAAGATTAAACATTTTAATAAAAACATACTTTTATATAGTTCTAGCCCAATGCTGGGCTACCTTGATGGCAGGGATATTTTCAACCAGCAAGACATTCTGTGTGCATTTTGGCCTGAAAGAGGCATTATAAAAAATAATGGTTTGAATAGTGCCAATTTGCAGTAAATAGCCTTGCTCTCTGGGAGAAACCCTCATTTTTCCATGCCATCTTTATTTCTAGCCAAATCAGTGCACAGTTTATTCAATTATGAAGATTAAAGTTTCCATCTATTGTTCTATTTGAGGTGTAGTAATGCCTCATGATTCATATATAAATCTGGACATTAAGAGTATCTTTTCTGACACTTTTAAATTAAAAAGAAGGGGAAAGGCATCTCCTAAGTAATGCAAAATAAAACAACAAAAAGTTTTAGAAATATATAAAGAAATGCACTGACAGGGATTCCTTCACATGCCCTCCAGTAAGCCCAGAGTCAAAGAGCTTCCTAACCTCCTTCACCCATATTGGGTGTGGCCAGACTGACACTCTAAAATGCGGCCTTTAGCTCCCCTGTTTTGTGCAATGTTTTGTAATTGTGCAAAGAACCATATTACTCCTTGTCCCTCCTGGGCATAAGCTCATGTATCATGTAGTCTGAACTTGCTAGTTGTTTATCTCCAACAAAATCATGGTGTATCTCCAGTTACAATTTCTTTTTCTCTTCTTAATGCAATAATTTTCTAGATTTCTATCTTCTCTCCAGTGGCAGTGGCTTTTTCCTCCAAAGTTGCAATAGTCTTGGTAAAAGGTTCTCTCCTACTTGCCCATTTCTATGATATTTCTTAACTAGGCTGGATGGCTGCTATAGAATTTGTCACTCCTTTTGTATTATGGCTTTTAATAACTAGGTACACAGTGCCTCCTTGTTAATTGCAAATCTTTCATTCCAGTATAAAACCACAGATAGGGAAATCGCAACTGACAAGGTCTTGAGGCCATGGGAAATGGAGGGTTGGGTCTGGGAATCTTTAGTTGTCCTCTTTCTCCCATAAACACTTCTCTCATAGTAGTTTTCTGACAGTTACTTCTTTTAATTCAACCAAGGTGGATCTCAGCAGTCTTGGGAGCCCTTGTGATTGTTTTCTGGCATCTGGGCTTCCATCAGCACCATAGTGGTCATTCTGGTCCTCATGGCTCTTTTGTGGACTAGGTGAGGGAGAGTCTCAGTTGTGTCCCACAGCCACCTGGGGCCACCTGGATGTTTCCATTTAAGTTGGTGTTTTCTCAACTACATTTTTAAACTCCTGATTCATAAACTGTTCCCATGATTCAAAATGTGCCAAGTAACAAGAGTGCAATATGGCTACAATGGTTGTTATGTTCCTTTTTAAAAGCCCTAAATCCCTTTTATGTAATCATAATATCTCAAAGGAGTTGGCAAAAATTGAAAAGGGCCTGTAAAACCCATTAACAGAAATTTCTAAAGCAATCTTTGTGCTATCAAAGAAACCAAGAATGATATCTGGTGCATGACTAGACTGCAATCTTGGATCATGCTCATAAACTCAAAGCCCAGAGTTGCATGGAATGTGTGTTATGAATGCAAATGGGAGAACTTGGTTTCAATTTACAGGTTTTTTAAATTTGCCTAACCTGCATTTATCTGTATTGCCTCAGCTATTTCTTTTTTTCTGAGAGAAAGCTTTCTCACAATACTAGCAAGTATTATGAGCAAGTGGAGGGAAGATTAACCAAAAGAAAAAATAATGCAGCTTTGAACATGAACTGATATATGTATATTTGTTTTGCCATTGCAGTGTAGTCCTATTACTGAGAAATGTAGATGGATTATGACAAAAATATTAACACATCAAGGTTTAAGAATGTTGAATCATGTTTCTATGGATTAGCTTCTTTTTAGTGAAATGTGAAGCAGCTATAGCTATTTTGTTTCAGATCTAATTGTTCCTGTTTAGGGTTTG